AATAACACAATAGTGTGGATTAGAGGAGAATATAACTCATCACTTAGCTTTCGAACTCCTATTAATGTTTTAAGCACACTTGAATCATTTACAGTAATAGAGACTGGCCCTAGCATAACATTGACCTCTGTTAATGGAAGTGATGGTGGTAGATACACTTGTGTGGCTCTTAATGAAGCAGGGATTGATAGTGCTACAGCTGAATTGCGAGTGTGGCCAGAGATACTAACAAATCCTAACAATATTTATACTCAAGATGGAGAAGGTGACGTTTCATTTGAGTGCTTGGCTGATTCATTTCCTAGCCCTCAATATTGCTGGGAAATATTTAATGAAACTTTAAATGAGTTTTACGCAATCTCCAATGAATCAGAGCGATTCTTGATGTTTGATGTGGTAGAGTATGAAGACAATGGGAAGTATAGGTGTGTGGCTACAGCTGCTATGATGTCTGCAATTTCTGATGAGGCTGTGTTGACTGGTAAATATATTTAGCATTTAAAATTCTTCTTGTTTTCCTTCTTTCTTTTTATTTGTTTACCTCTTGTGTGTTGTTTTTTATATTCTTCCCTTTTTTCTATTTCTAATGACTCCCCTCTTACTCTTTATCTCTCTGTCTCTCTCTGTCTTTCTTTCTACTCTTTATTTTTTTCTCTCTTTCACCCTCTCTCTCTCTGTACAGTATCTCCTGATGGTAGTGTTGAAATTGATCCATCAATCATCATAGCAACAAATGGTAGTACAGTTACATTTACCTGTTCTGCTAGAGGTGGCCCTAACAACACTTTTGTCTGGATTCGTTCTAATGCCACTGGATTGATAGCCAATGAGACTGAACTAATGAGTCTTTTAGCAATGGCCCCAGTAGATGTTGATGGTTTCCTTGATGCAGCTGGTCCTCTCATTATAGAGAATGGTACTGAACTTACACTTGAGTATATCAATGCTACAATGGATGGTGGTAACTACTCGTGTGTAGTCATCAATGAAGCTGGTTTAGGCACAGTTGAGACCACACTGTATGTGGCTCCTGTCATAATGCTACATCCAGAAGATCGATTAGTAACGCAAGGTGAATATTTTATACTTTCGTGTTTAGCAGATGCTTTTCCATTGCCAACATATCAGTGGGAGAGGATGAATCGGACTAGTGGGTATTTTGAGGAGATAACAGGAGAGACTTCCTCCGATTTGAGATTCAATAATGTTGATTTTGATGAGTTTGGTATGTATCGCTGTGTTGCAAGCTCTGAGGGTATCAATGACACAGCAGTATCAAGAGGAGCCCTTGTAACAGGTTAGAAATATGTATGCACATGTACATGTGTATGTAAGTTCATGTGTATAATTTATGAGTTAAGACATAATACATGACTATCATATAATCAAAGTATGATCAATTCACATAATTGATGTACAGCCTTGCCAAGTTCTATTGGTAAAAGTTTATTAGACATACAACATAATACATTTACTGGAGAGCTACTG